CTGATAAGGATCTCCCCCATCTCCCAAAGGAACAGCCAACAATCATCATAAGAGACTCGAGTTTTCCCTATGAGCTCATATACACTGTTGTAATTAGAGCTTGCAAAAAGAGCTAGCCTCTTTAGCTTTCAGTGAGGGCTCCCAAAGTCTTTCATCCTGGATATGAGAGGGGATGATTCAGAATGTTCAGAATGTAGGAAAAGGAAGTCCCAACTTGGCAGATATCAGTCAAACACATGTGGCTGCTCACCACATCTCCAGCACCATCCTACATATACTGTGGAGCACACGGGACAACATCCCATGTGTGATAAAGTTCTACAACCTCGATTATAGGAATTAAAATGCATGGCAGGTTTCTGCTGGAATAAAGACCAGTATCACATAAAAACATTATATCAGCCTATAGTACTATTATTATACCCATTATATAGATGAGCAAACTGAGCCATCTAGAGACTAAGAAACTTGCCCAAGGCTATGCAGCTAAGTGTTGAAGCTTGAGCTCTTAACCACCCAGATCCTAGAAATGAGAGAAAAATGAGAGGGAGGGCACATAGTAGATATCTAAATTGGTATAATTTTTATAAGTTAATTCGGCAATATGTATATGTATTTAAATATAATGACTTTTGATCAAGCAGTTCCACTTCTAAGATATTATCCCAGGGCAAAACTTATGTATTTCTATAAAGATACATGTAGGAGAATGTATAGAAATGCAGAGAAGAAACTAAGGTCCCTGAATGATTATGTGGAGCAGAGCCACCTGCTAACCTGACAGCTTGCCTTAGAATCATTATTCAAGGCTGAGACATTCTTCTCTACCCTATAGGTTATCATACTTCAGGGCCTCTATGTCACAGCAACTTAGATTTTATCTTAACTAATGCAGAAAGTTTGCAGAATACTTTAAAAGAAATACTTACGGAGAAAATTTGGGAGTACACATAAAAGAAAATACAACATGACCAAATGAATTTTATTCCAGGGCCACAGGGTTTATTTCTAAATATGGAAAATTATTATTATATTAAATGATATAATTTACATAATTCTTCAATAGATACCCAAAGCAAATTGATAAAATTCAATATAAATCTTGAAACTTTAAAGACAAGAATATTTCCTTAAAATAATAAAAATATAAAATACTATACTATATATGTAAAATATATAGTATATATAAACAATATATATAAAATATAAAAATATACCATATGAAATAATATATTTTTATATTTTATATATTTTATCTTTTATTACATATATCTTTTTCTATTTAGTAATATAAAATATTAAATAATAAAATAGTACATCTATTTAAGAATCAGACACAACATGATCCTTCAAAGAAAAACACAAAAACAATTCAATTAAAAACAGAAACAAGGCAAGTGTTCTCCTTATCACCATTATCATATTAGAGAATGTTGCCAAAGTAGAAAACATAGACAGATACACAAGAGAAGTACACACACACATGCACAAATACACAACCAAGACAAACAGTGAATTCAATAAAATAAAAATAACAGATTATGAACGTGAAAAAGGCATTGTGCAAGGTGGTCAAGAGCCTTCGGATTTGGTCACATCTGGGTTCCAAACCTGGCTTCAGAAATTAATAACCATGTGAGCTTAACCTCCCCAGGCTTCAATTTCCTCATCTGTAAAATGGGTATAGTAAGGCCTACCTCTTAGGTTTGCTATGAGCATTAAGTGAAATATTATCAAATGCTTACTCCAGTACCTGGGATGCAGTAATCACTCTAGTTATAGCAATTGTGCTAGTTAGTCACTGTAGTAATCCCTGTACCATTTCTTAATATACAAGAAACATGTATAATACCAAGCAGCATTCATCTATGCCACTGATTGTCAGCTAGGAAAATCTAATGAAAAGAGTCTTCTTTATAAATAGGTAAGAATATATAGAATGTGCCCCAATAAGAGATATGGAGACCTGTACAAAGAACTTCAATCTTTTATAGGAAAAAGAAAGGAAAACCCAAATTAATAGAGGGACAAACCATGTGTCCGAATGAGAACTAAATGTTTTCAAAGTTAGTAATTTAAAAGTCTATAAACTATAAAACAAACAACACTGGGACAGTTCTTCTGAATTCAGTGTGTAGCTTTAGAGCAATCGCAATTAAAATGTTATATAAAATGGCATAAATTTCACTTAGAGAAATAGGTAGGTAAGAGGCAAAATTAGAAAAGACCTGTAATCCTTGAATCTTAGTTTAGAGCTAAGAGCCTTCTGAGGTCAGCTAGTCCAAGAGGGAACAGAGGTTGAAGAACTTATTTAAAGACTCCATCAGTTGGTTCCTGGACTGAGACAGGAACTCAGATCTCCTGACTTTTTGTCCAGTTGCTCTTTCCATTATTTTACATTGAATCTTTATATCTAGAACATAATCAATATTCTGAAAAAGATGAACAGTGAGAGAGAAGTAACCTTACATAATATATTAATTTTGTATTATAAGGCAGCAGTAATTAAAATGGTTCAGTACTGATCAGAATAAAAGAGAATCAAGGGCTCAGAACTAGTGTTTGGTATATATAAAAAAGAATGTAGTATATGATTGTCTAAGCCACAAAATAATAAGAAATATACATACTATTAAAATATTATCGAGGTAACAGGATCTTAAATTTCCAAATACCTATATCTTTAAATAAATGCCACAGGTATTAGCAAAATAAATATAAATAGATCAAACTATAGACAAACTATTAGAAAATAGATTTGCTATCCCAATTAAGGAGAAATAATGTTTTTATAGTGACTTAAATAATGGAAGACTTCAAAAGAAAAGATAGGCAAAGATGATTATAAAAACTTTACAATTTCTCTAAAAAAAATGGTACAGGGATTACTATAGTGACTAACTAGCACAATTGCTATAACTAGACTGATTACTGCATCCCAGGTCCTGGACTAAGCATTTGCTTTGTTAAAAAGCAAAAAATGATGGGATGAAAAAGTACTGAGAAAAACACAAATCCAACAAGAGGATATAACATTTGTAAATATTTACACACCCAACATAGGAGTACCTAAATATAAAACAAATATTAACAGAACTAAAGGGAGAAATTTTCAGCAATACAATAATTGTAAGGGACTTTAATACCCCCATTTTCATCAATGGATAGATTATCCAGACAGAAAATCAATAAGGAAACATTGGCCTTACATGACACATCAGACCAGATGGACCTAATAGACATATACAGAACATTCTACCCAAAAGCAATAGAATACATATTCTTCTCAAGTGCGCATGGAATATTCTCTAGGATAGATCATGTTAACAGGAACAAAACAAGTCTCTCAATAAATTTAAGAAGACTGAAATTACATCAAGCATCTTTTCCAAGTGTAATGGTATGAAACTAGAAATCAATTACAAGAGAAAAGTATAGTAAAGGTTAGTATCTATAGAGTTTACATATATACCAACAAAAAATAAACCAACAAAAAACCTAAGGCCCATATGGACACTTGGGTAAAGAGATGAAAAGTTTAATCTACCCACTAAGAAAAAAACAGAGTAATTAAATATTTAAAATGATTAAATTTGAACTTGCTTGCTAGCAAATTAGTTGAAGTAATAACAAAGTGGCATTTATTATCTAATTCTTACTATATTCTGGCCCATAAGGAGTGAAAGCAAAGCAAAGTCCGGTGCTGGTAGTTCTTAGGAGAAAGACTCCTCAGTCTTTGCAGGTAGCAGTCTACATTGGAGGCAATTTGGTAAATGCAAATGTTTCTACACTTTGACCCAGTGAATCTCAAGCCTGAGAATTTGTTCAAGGGAATAACTTGAAGGAAGAAAGAAAAAAACTATGAGTAGAGAGTTGTTTAGAGCAGGGTGGTTAATCATGGCTAAAAGAACTGTAAACATCTGAAATACCCAGCAATCAATGCATCAATGCAAAGATACACCCATTAAATGATAAATAAAAGGACAAGTCAAAATATATGGAACCAGTTATGAAAGAAGTTCAAAAAGTAGAAACAAGAAATTATAGCTACACAAATCAATTGTGAAAAACTTACAAATGCAGGTCAATACTGGAAGAATAAAAATTGCATTTTTTCAGAATTTATGGGGTTGTGGGGCAAATTTTAAGATAAATCTTTTCCTAGTGTTTTGAAGCTGCTTTAATAAGCACATTAAAAGTAGAAAAGTATATCATATTTTTTTCAAAAGATTTCCTCTAAAGATGGTTAATTTTCTTTAATTAGTTTTTTAAAAAGTTGGAAATTTTACTTCTGGGAATCTTGTTAATGTTGAATAGATAGGTGTTAGTTAACTATATTTCAGATCAGGGCTTCCAAAATAGTTGGTGGCATGTGGGCATGCCCATACAACAATCCTTAAGCAGAAGGCTTCTGTGCTAAGAGTGACTACAAGTAGCACGACCCATAGAAGAGGTGAGCCAGGAGATGGGGGGGCAGGAGGGAGGCAGGAGATCCAAAGTCTTATTTTCTGAAGATGAGTCTGGCAGGGTGGGTGGGTGGGGACTTGCCAGGCCAGGGAGGAAAGGGCTGGGGTCTGGACTTTGTGGTGACAGCAGATTAGAAAGCAAGAGATGACTCTGATGTCTTGAAAAGAGGAACTGTTCTATTTGAGTGACTTCCTGGGTGTGAGAGGAAAAGGAAGTGTCAAAAGTTGAGGCCCGGGTCACCCTTCCAGGCCTCCTAGGTGCTAACAAGGCTCAGGGAGGGGTGGCAGGGTCTGGAAGGGGGGCTGGTTGGAAGGAGACAAGTTTAGAGGTTCTCTGAGTGGACAGGAAACATAATCTGATTCATTCATTTATCTGCAAATATTTACTGAGGGCCTCCAGTGTGTTTGGTCCACACTCGCCACTGGGACAAAGACCCTGACAGAAGTCTAGTGTTAACACGTTCACCTCCTTTTATCTGGTAAAAATGAATCCAGCCCTGGCCTGAGGAGAGCATCTGCCCCAACCCTACCTACCTTTTTCCTGCTCAGCCGCTTCACTAAGTTCTGGAAGCTTGAGCCCCACTAAGTTCTGATTTCTTATCAGGATGTGCTCCTTTTTAGGAAAAGAAAACAACATTTCAAATGATAACATCAGGCGGAACTCTTCTCTTGTTCTGTTTATGGCTCTGTGACCACTCAGCCTTATGTGGGAGGTACTAGGGGCAGCCTCAAAGGTGGGTGGACAGTCATGACATGGTGACATATGAAGGGCACCTGGAAGACTGCTCCTCTCCCAGCCCATAAACTTGCCTGAAACCCCACCATTAGCACCACATTTCTTGGGTTAAGAATTGTCCTTGGCATGGTTTGCCTTTTTTTTTTTTTAATTTTTATTTTTTTTTTAAGATTTTATTTATTTGACAGAGAGACACAGCAAGAGAGGGAACAGAAGCAGGGGAAGTGGGAGAGGGAGAAGCAGGCTTCCCGCGGAGCAGGGAGCCCGATGCAGGGCTCGATCCCAGGACCCTGGGATCACGACCTGAGCCGAAGGCAGACGCCTAACAACTGAGCCACCCAGGCGCCCCGGCCCCTTTTAAATAAGGCTGTGGGCCTCAGGGCAAATGAGCTCCAGCCACACTGTGGCCGAGAGCTATACGACAAACAGAAGCAGAGCCCAGGGCTCTGGGGATAGGGTGGTCACCTGGATGTGTATGGAGCTTCTGCTGGAAATGATTTTGTTGAGCTCATGACTGTGCTTCAAGCTAGCTAGAGCTTCCTGTCCTGTTGTTCAGGGCAGTGAATGCCCATTTCCAGGAGCTGTGACCTGTCCTACCCCCATTTCCTCAGTGGCTGGTTATGGCACCCCTTGAGTTTTTAAACTCTCCAGACAGATGAGGCCTGAGAATTGCTGCCCCACTATACTGCCTGGGGCCTCAGCAGTCAAAGCCCAGGAGAGATGGGGATGCTGACCACAGGTCAGTCAGCACCAGACAGGACTTCTAATGTCTGACAGATCTCCTCGCCCCTTGTGACTTATGCTTATGAGGGGATTTTCAGTCGTAGCAAGGCCCACTTGAGTGGTTTGCCCCCTGGTAAGGAAGGAAAGGAAGGGGCCAGCAGAGGGTGCTCATGGCTCAAATGGAAGTAATTGGCCAGGGCCCTTTACCTGTTTCCTTAGCAGCTCCCCGGAGCCTCCAATTCAGAGAATTGTAGAAAGTTTCTGAATAGGAATGAGGTTTCTGAATAGGGCACATTGCAATGTGTCCCTGCTAGCACAGAAACCTCCTCACTTGTGCTTTACTGCTATCAGGTACCTCTTTTCCTTCCCCATGTCACACGCATTCTGTAGGGGAGCCAGAGGAGCCTTGTCCAGTTTTAGCTGTGAGGGTGCCAGGTCCCTCCCCATGGAGTCCCTGTAGCCTGGGTTGGCCCTCTGGGGAAATGGGACTGGATAACGATTCCTTGTCCCGTTAATCTCTTCTCACCCTCACACCCTATCTCTCTCCCCTACATTGCTGGATACTCCCAATCACCCCCTGCATAGGGTGGCAGCCCCATGGGAGACTACTGTGCCTGGTTTGATGGCCAGTGAAAGTTGGGGACATCATGGACACTGGAAGAAATTCACCACAGAGGGAGCAGCCCCTCATGGCCGTCATTATACTTGAGGATGGATTTGGGGCCCTTTGTTAACAGGCATCAGGAAGGAAAGTTCGGGGGCCTGACAAAGGGAAAAGCTATTCCATCCTTGGCATGACAAGGCACTCTATTAAGGGCTTCCTGTTATGAGCTGCCAACTCTGGCTGGAGGGGAAAACACAGCCCGGTACCGAGGGCTCATGTGCCCGCCAAACACTTGCCTTCCCCTTAAAATGTGGCTTTGTGTGGCAACTATATCCCACACTGACCTCACCCTGGTAAGTGTGGTAAAATCACCTGAAACATATTTATGAAGAAGATGCTGCACAGTGGGCCTGATTTATCAGGGAGGGGAAGTTTAGGGACCCACAAGGCCCAAGTCCAGCCCACAGCTGCCCTGCTTAGCGGCTCAGCCCAGAGGTCTTCAGCCCAGGGTTACCTGGAGCGCACACCCCGCCCAGCTGGCCCCCAGGAACCTACCTCACGGAGCTTCGACAGTTTTTGCATCCGTACTGGCTGCACTTGTATCTGAAAGTCTTTGAGTCCGGGTGCCTTGGCCAACTTGCTGCCAGCTTTGCCTGAAAAACGCTTCTCTTCCTCTGCCAGAGGCAGCTTAGCAAGCACTTTCTGCAGCCGGGGGCCAGGTTCTTCAGGACCACTGTCCCAGGAGACCCCCCGCTGTAGGGGTGGCCGCGAAGCAGGGGCCCGCAACTCAGGTTTGGAGCCAAATTTTGACCCTGTCGGCTCTCCAACTGTACCTTTGCCCTGGGGGCTCAGGGGAGCCACCCCTCCAGAGCCCTGGGCTGGACCTCTAGGCAGAGGGTTGCCTTCCCTGACTGTCTTCAGAAGTGCCTTTCCCAGCTCATTTTCAGCAGGGCCAGGCTGAGGGCTATTCAGGGCCATTTTCCCACCACTGCCTACACCAGGAGCTGGGCCTTTGGGTGTGGCCTCAGGGCACTGGAGGGGATCGCAGTTTTCCTTTTGTTCAATTGCAATCTCTTTGGACTTCTCAATTGTGGGAGAACGAGGAGTCAGCCTGCCCTCAGACAGTTTCCTCTGGTCATTCTGCTTTCGGTCAGCTAGCCCTTTGGAGACATTCTGAAAGAGACAAGGTAGACCTGGGACTCTGGAAGCAGGCTGGAGAGGAAAGAGGTGGGGCCACTTCCACTGTGGGGCCTCTGTCCCCACAGAACCTGCTAAGGTGCCTGTGTGTATGTGTGTGCACTGAGTGAAAGGGGAGGGCTTCTCAGTCAAGTCTGAATCAGTAAAGGGGATCTGCAAACAAGTCTGAGGTCTTTAAAACAGACAGGACAAGGGGACCTGTCATTCACAATCTTCCAAGAACTTCCCAAGGGCTAGGAGCTGTGGAGGACAGTGGAATAAAGGACAGCTTGGGGGCAGTCACAAATTTTGGCGTTGACTCAGTTGCCCCAGTTTCTAGTCTTGACTCTTCCTGGCAAGGCCCTTAACTGTTAGGGACTCAGATTTCTCATCAGGTTTGTGAACCCTCTGAAATTATTGCAAATGTATATGTGTGTTTAAATGTGCAAGTTGTATGTATTTTTCTGGGGAGAGAATCTGTAGCTTTCAACAATTTCTCAGAGAATTCCATGATCCAAAAGAGGTTAAGGATCTTTGGATCAGGTGATTCTTACAAAGGTGATATCTTACTATGCAGAAGTTCTAAGATTCTGCACTCTTACTTCATTTCCCAAGGGAAACCCACTTTGTGAGGAGCATTTGTCTGGCTATCTTGTGTGAGTGGTGAAACTCTCCCAGAGGACTCTATCCTAGCCCCACTTCTAGATGAGATTGTATTTCATGCTGCCCTCGACATCACCTTGAGCACTTTGCTCTGAGCACCCTTCTAGTGCTCATCAGCACCAGATTTTCCAGGCTGCCCCCAAGAAGAATCCCAATCAGGAACTGGAACTTTACTGTAATTTTTACTAGAGTGACAAAAGCAGCAGCCTTGCCTGTTGCCAGGCCCAGCAGTCCCCCTGGTCTATGGCTAGTGGCCTGAGTGAAGATGCAGGGTTATAGGGTTATAGTGAAAGTGACCTCCACTGAATACTGCCTCCTTACCCCCTCCACTTTAGACTTCCAGTCATGATAGAACAGAGGAACCTTCTAGCTTCCCCAGCCTTGACCCTCCACTCACGTACACCAACTTGCAGGCTGCCCAAGGCTAGCCTAGACTTTTGGAACAGTGTCTCCCACACCCACATCATCCAAAGTGGGCAGAGCTCACACTCACAGGCTCGCCAAGGTGAGGTGAAGAGACTTCGGCCTCATCCCCCTTCTGCTGGAGAAAGTGAACACAAGTCAGACAGCAATGTGAAGAGACCATATCTCCTCTTGAAATACCCTCAAAGTGATATAGATGCTTTCCCCTCCCAGCACCGTCATCACAATAGGTCGTGGAGAACCTCTTAGGGGTTAAGGGGTAAGAGGAGAGACCAGTTGGCATAGAAACCACAATCAGGACCCCTGTTACCTGTGGTGGTGCTCCAGACAAAGGGGACTGTGGGCCACTGCATGCATCCAAACCTGGAATGGTCCAGACACTGGTGAGTGATGTCCAGCACCCCAGACCATCAGCTGTCCCTTTAGCAAAAACACATCTACCTCCCCAGAATGCCCTCCCTTGGTTCGCTCAGGTCTGGTGGCCAGTAACGCCTGACATGTTGAATACCTTCCACATGTCAGGTTCTATTGTGAGCCCTCATTTAATCAGCACTGAAACTACATGAAGAAACTGAGGCAGAGGGAAGTCAAGGTCACACAGCCAGGAAGTATCAGCACTGGGAACTGAACCCAGGCTGACTGGTCAGAGCCTGAGCTTGCCCCACAGCTCTGACAAGGGCAGGCTGTTCTCCCTGGCACCATGCCCCTTTCCAAGCTGGTTTGAGGGTGTGGCCCCGTACACAGTATAATGAAAGGGAAGAAACCAAAAAGAAAAGAGTGGCTCAAATAGAGGCCCTTCTAAATAAGCTCTGGGGTGACCTCTCTGTGAGTCCTCTCTTAGCAGAGAAAGCACCAGTTGTAGCCCCTTTCCCACAACCTTGCCTCTGTCCTCACCTACCTAGACTCATCCTGGGCTAGGCCTGTCTCCCCACACTAGCTCAAAACCCCAACAGAAAGTACATCCACCTCCTCAGAGGCAGCCCCACCAGGCCTAGCTGGGATGCCAAACAGGGGTCCTGACTAGAAAGCCTGCAAGATGGGATGCATCCTGGGCATCCTGGTGGGGCCAGGGGTCGGACTCAGCTGCCACCCAAAGGGAAAAGCCAGGACAGGAAATGCCAGGGGCACTGGACCTCACCAAGGGGCGTGGAGACAGTAAGCGAGTTGCTTTGAGTAGATGTCGGAGAAGCTCCGGGGCTGAGGTTTGAGGAAACAGCTGTGGAGACAGACACAAACTGGCCAGCATTCATGGAGGTTTACGACTTCAGCCTAACAAAGATATCCTTTCAGGTATTTCTGACCCCTGGGAACTGGGACTGCTTCATCAGGTCAGGGGCTGACTCTGGACTGCCATAAAAGGCTCCTACCGCAGGAGGACTCCATCCATGCAGGGTGGTCCAGGAGCCTGTGCACATGGGTATCATACAGGGATTTCTCTCTATGTAGGATTCAGGGAGGGGGAACCCATGTCATGGGTATCATAAAGGCTGACATTTCTTGGTGAAACAGAAAGACACAATAGGCCCAAAAAAGGAAAAGCAGAGTTTTCTGGGCTAGAGTTGCATCAGTATTTTAAGAGCTTCTGAAATAGGGTAAGATGCCCTGTCTTCACAAGATCCTCTCCACAAGTATCAGTCCTTCTGGTGCCTACAGGCCTGTGGGCAGGCAAGTCAAAGGCCACCCCTTGGAAGCAGGGCTCCCACTACAACTGGGTCCTGGCCCTCCCTATCCCCTACCCCACCTTGGAGGGGCTCAGGGCAGCCACCTGTACATCCTACCTGACGGGGAGTCTCCGGGGCCGCTCCTGGACTTCCTCCCACGGCGGGTCAGGAATCGTTCACTCACCGACTTGGCTTCTTCCAGCAGCGCCAGGTTTTTCTTCTTGTCCTCTTCTGAGATGCTGATATCTGGCAGCTGGTCATTGACCAGGTCAATAATGTGCCCTGCAGGGTCTGCAGTGGGAGGGTGAACTCAAGGCAAGAACCACAGAATCCTTGGCCCCCCACACCTTAGCCGAGGGAAGCTGCCCAGAGTGGACTCAGCCAGCCAAACTTCAGCCCAATGCCAGGCCAGGGAGACAGATAGGGCTACCTCAGCAGGTTTGTAGCCTGTGGCTGTGTCAGGTCCTCTGTAACAAATAGTCATGAAGCCACCTAGGTTCCCAGTACTGTCCTCAACTCTGCCATTAGGGAAGGCCATCAGGAGCTCCACCTCCATGCTATCTTTCCCTAGTGTGTTCTTCTTTCAGGTCTCCAAGCGTTCAACAAGCTAGGGAGCTTAAGATGTGTGGATAAAGAGCACTCCAAAGATCATGGCCACCTTCCCTCCCTTCTTTCCTCTACTCACACTATCTACCTCCACCCTTCTCCAAAACCGCCTCTTCTCCAGCAGCGCTTCAGTGGGTGAATGACACCACTTTCCCCAGCTGCTCAGAAACGTGGGAGTCACTCCACACTCCTTCCTCAGTCTCTTCACATCCCACCAACTGGTCATCAAGTCCTGATCATAATTTACCTGAGAAATATCTCTGGAACTTGTGCCTCCTCTCCATTCTTGTCCCTTAGATCTTACCTGCACAGTTACAACAGCTGCTTCGTAGGCTTCTACCTTCACGCTCTCCCCTTCCTCCCATCTTCCACTACCTATCAGAGTCAGCTTCCTAAGAGCCATATCTGACCTTGCACGTTTCCTGCCTCACATCATCAGGATTCCACATGAAAGGAAGTTTGAGAGATGGGATGAGGCAATTGCTAATGACCTAACTTGAGCACCTGCATTCAGCACTTCTTGAAACCACGAGCTCTGGCTTTTATTTTCATGTATGTATGTATGTATGTATGTTTTTTGGGGTAAGATAGTTTGAGTTAGGTTCCATCATTTGGAAGAGTCCTGACTAATACACACAGCAGAGCATTCAGTTGCTCTGTTATGGTTCCTGCTCCCCCACCATGTTGTTTCTTCCACCCAGAATGCTTTTTCTTCCTTTTGTCTATCTGTCCAACTCCCTAAGGCACAACTCAAATACTCTCTCTTCTGGAATATCTATCCAGCCTTCCCCCTCCTCAGATAAAATTGGTCTCCTTCTTGCCTCAGTTTCCCTAACACTTCTTTAAAGGGCCTTATAATATGGTGTCTTGATTATATCTGTTCACTTCTCAGTCTCTTCATAGACTATGAGCAACATGAAGGCAGAGACCAAGTCTATATAATATCTGTATTCCAATGGTCCAGAACAGACCCTGAGAAATCATTTGGATAATGAGCTAGTGTTTGGGTCAGAGATGCTTGCATTCAAACACATACCTACCTGGATGTGGGCCTTTCCAGCAGGAGGTAGAGGGCTCTGCCCCCTGTGCCCCAGAATTGAGCCTCACCCTGCTGTTCTGTCTCTTTGACTTCCTCATCTTTCTCTTCACCCTCTGGCCTTGTTTTTTAACAAAATAAATTAAAATTAGATATCATACTTCTTCTGGGCTCAACACAGAGGGGCAGACTGACTTTGCCTTCTTGGGCTCATAGGTATAGACCTGCCTGAGAATTAGAAGAGGGGTAGGGGCTGAGCTGCCAGATCTCAGTCTTCTTGCTCAAACATACTTTCAGAGGGACCCCTATCTCTGGTTGCAGAAATAAGATAATTGGACTAGCCCTTACCCACAGAAGTCAGTGAAGCAGTAGAAACCTTCAAGTGTCGGTGAGAAAGCCTCCTGTGGGGACTGTGAGCTCTGAAAGACAGTACAGAGTCATCTTGTTAAAGAAAATTTGTCCACAGCTTGTAAATAGGCAGATACCTGTATATTCTTTCAAAGTCATCCTAGAGCATCGTCTTACGAGCTTGTCTAAGTTTGAGAACTTGTTAGAAATGCAAATTCTCAGGTTCCACCCCAGACTAAATGGATCAGAAACTCTGGGAGGTGGGGCCCAGCCATCTGTAATTGAACATGTCCCCCCAGGTGATTCTGATGCTTGCTAAGGTTTTTGAAAAACTGCCCTAAGGAAATGTAACTTTGGCTATTTACTTTTATTAGGGCCCAGACTCTGAGTGAACATCTAACTGTAGAAAACTCATAAAATATGACTAATTGTCTGGTAGAGATGTAGATGATTTCTGTTGGGGAAGAAAGATAAAAAACAAGGTTTCATTGTCTTGTGGAACATTAACCTATTTTATATCAAACTTAGTAATCTTATTACAGTATTCTTTTCCTCCCCACTGATTATATATATATATTTCCATTTCTTGTATCCTCTTTTGAACTCACTTTGTCATCGGGATGATTTCCTCATCAATGAGTTAAATAAATCTTTGACACATGCTCACTATATTTTTGTATAAGAATGATCTTTGTAGCTTTTTGAAAATTATACTTAGTCTTACTCCAGCAAGACCAATGCATATGCTAGTGCTGTGTCAAACTGAGGCAGTGACATCCCTGAGCACGTGAGCCAGTGTCCTTCCCAAGGGGTCATCTTCCCCACAGGACCCACTTTGACCAGGGGCAGCATTCTCCAATCAAAGACTCTTATCTCTCAGGTCTGTTTGCAAATATCTGGGCAGTTATTATGGGAAACTACCCTGCTATGATTTGTGCTTAAAGGCTAGCAAAGTACAAAGAACCAAATCCAGGAAAAGACAAATAATTTGGGGGGGAAAGAAAATGGACAAGTCCCAAGCTCTTGCTCTCATTTGGAAAAACTGCTTGATTCTATTTCGTCAATAAAATGATCAAGAAAGAAGATTTATAAAAAGTATATGTAGCTATCTAATCCTCACGTGCTAGGAAATATTGTTCTTCACAGCACAAAGATTAGGCATATGAGATGTACCTGTTGACCAGGTTTTTGTCAGTTTCTCCTTCCGGTGAACTGGCATCCCCAGTCAGGATGATGGTAGGTGGACTGCAGGATATTCCTGCAGTGTGAGGGCCCTGGTGGTTCAGAATAAAACACAGATGGAGTTAGGCTTAGGATGGTGAAATCTTCCAGGAGCTGGAGCATTTATTCCAGTATTATGACACTCAAAACTATCTTGATAAGGGTTGAATACAGTTTATTTGGATTATTCAGGGGGAAAAAAGGAAAGAAAGAATGAAAAAAGGCAGTTTCTACTTCATTCCCCAGCAGACATTCACTGAGCTTAACATGGCCTACTTTTCATAAACTAAGATTCTGGAAACTCTAAGCCATCCCTGGTTAATCCTCACTAACAGTCTTGAAAAAGAATGGTACAGAGGCCCCAGGCTGCAGCCAGCCAGGTTGGGGAAGGAGGAAGACCAGGAGAACAGGTGGTGGCACCCACACATTGGGTGGGTATACAATGAGATCCCACATTGGGTAATTGTGACATTTCGATAAAGGTGATGTGTTCAACGGGTCATGGAATATGCAGTTTAATTGTGTAACCTTGAAAAATGTTTATCTGAATAAATACACATTTCTGAAATTAGAACAAAAGTTATTAGCCAGTCCTTAGATTTTTGAGGTATTTCAAAACCACTAAACAAACAAAACTACTAATAGCAAACATGAGTCATTTCATTCTAGGTTAGTAAGGTTGTAGTTAAATCGGTGTACTATTACACTGTGATGGCCATGTGAATGGTAAAACCATATCAGGACTGTAATAAATATTGATTGAATGAGTGAGTGAAAGAATAAAATGAAAGCAATATAGGATATACAATAAGGTCCATAAAGATGCACATCAACATGCATTTCCTCACACCTCAGTGTACTGGGGATAAAAATAGGACTAGGTAACAGTAATACACAGTCTCTCCAGTTCTTTGCCACCCACTGTTGTAGTATGTCCATCTAAAAATTGTTCCCAGGTATGTCTGGTAATCTCTCTAGGGGTTTTCTCATATGTCCCCTCATCATTTTCCTTCTCTTCTTCCCTGCCCATCCTTACCAGTGTGTGTTGTCAGGGCTCTCTGTGAACACCCTATTGTCCCTGCCGAGGCCTGTCTCCCAGCACTCTCAAGCATGTCACACCGGGTCCCACTGTTGCAGTGGCTTCCTGGAGCATCAGAGCAGTAGGTCCCCATTGCCACTTTCCCTGGGGGCTGTGTCTTTCTGGAGCCTCTGGGCAATAAGTGTTCTCACTTCTACTGGCCCTGCTGAAGCCGTTGCCTGGGTCTGCCCTTGTAGATCTAGGGCTGAACTGTGTTCTTGAGCACTTAGTGTGCAGGTATTGACTCCTTGCAAGCTGGGGAAGAGGATCTCTCCCCTTTTCACATTATTACTTGTTAAGTGGGTTCCATACAGTGCTATGTAAGCTTCTTAAATCCCATAATTTTTAGTGAAACCAGCTCTTCCTGTTTTCATTTGTATCTCCTCCCTCCCTTGGCCTCAATCATAAGGCCGGGTAAGCTGGAGAAGTGTCTCTGAGTCCCACCAGGGAATGCCAGATCCCTGTGTTCCAGGACCTCTTCAACTGGAGGGAGGTGCAGGGATTGGAGGAGGAGGAAGCACCCAGAATCCCTGGACACATGGAAAGAAAGTTGGGACAGGGACTTTGGCTGGATAGGAAGCAGTAGGAAGCAGCATTGCCTCTTGTAAGAATCATACAGACCTATGCTCAGATTTCTGCTCATTATCCATTAGCTATGTGTCCTTGAGCAAGTTATTTAACCTCTCTGTGCCCCATGATCATAAAAATCCAACTCACAAGGTCGATGTGAAGATTAAAAATAATATTGAGAAAGCACCTAGCACATGACTGGTGTTTTCAATAAATAGTTATATTACTGTCAGATTACTTTTCTCTTTCATTCAACAAAGACACTTTAGTTACCCATCATGTGTCAGGAGCATCTTAAAAAACAAAGACCCTCAAGGCCTCACAGATCCCTTGCTTAAGGGATATAGAGAAGTAATGAATAGTTATAATAAATTTAAGCTGATAAGAAATGGACCACATTCTGTGAAAGCTCAAAGGAAAGGAAAAAAAAATTCCTCAGGGGAGTTGGAGAAGACATTTCAGCTGGGTCTTGAGGGATGAATGGGAGCTTGTAAGACAAAGATATTAGGGGAGAGGTTTTGGGCAAAGGGAACAGCATTTAGCAAAAGGCATAACTGGGCATTAGGGATTTATCAGTGTAATCAGAGCATGGCCTCTGGGGTATGTAAGATAGGAAAGCTCAGGGATGGGGACTGCAGTATTGTGGTTTATAAGGAAACATATATATTTGGTCATTCAGATGACCAAAATATATTTTTCATAGACATTTGGTCTTTATCCACAGTTCCTGGCTCACAGCTCCCAAGACCCTTGGAATTTCCTGAGCGATAAGAGCAATGGGAAAATCTTTTGTTATAATATTTGGTCTCTTGTCCTTAGTTCCTAAACTCCCTTCAGAGCCATAAAGGTGAAATGGGTGGCTTGTTATCTATAACAAACCCTTTCCACCACAACTAGGTTAATGCTAATGAAGGTGACTTTTGCAAAGCACCTAAGTATGGAAGCTGGTTGCCAGGGGAAACAGCCATGAATAGAGGGTTGGAACTTTCAGTCCCACCCCCTGACTTCCTGGGAGAGGAAAGGGGCTAGAGGTTGAAGCAATCACCAATGGCCAATGAGTTAATTAATCATGCCTACATAATGACACCTCTATAAAAACCCAAAAGGAGGGGGATCAGAGAGCTTCCATGTTGGGGAACCAACACACTTCCACATGCCACTGTGCCACGTCCCAAGCTCCACAAGGACAGAAGCTCCTTTATTCAGGACCTCACCCTATGTATCTCTTCATCTGACTGTTGATTTGTATCCTTTAATATCCTTTGTAATAAATCATTGACCTAGTGAATAAATGGGTTTTCCTGAGTTCTGTAAGTCACTCTAGGAAATTATCACACCTGAGGAGGAGATCATGGGACCCTCTGATTTCTAGCCGGTCCATCAGAAGCACAGGTGACAACCTGGACTTGTGACTGGTGTCTGAAGTGGGAGCAGTAGGACAGAATCCTTCACCTGTGGATCTGATTCTATCTCCAGGTAGATAGTGTCAGAATTGAGTTGAGTTCTTCGACGCCCTGCTTGTGTCAAATAATTGCTTGTTGGTAGGGGAATCCTACAACATACAAACACACACATGTTGGACTTGGGTCCAGGAAGCTAATTTAGAGGCAAATAATGGAAGTAGCATAAAAGTTTGAGCCAGCTTCTGATGGACATTGGGTGTTATCCCAGTGAGTTTGACCTTTGTGGTTTTGGAGATGGGGAATACTGAAGGTCAGGTTTGGGAATAATTTGACCACCCAAAGAGAGAACATAGAAATTTTGACAGGAGATCCATTCATGGGTCATCATAGTGCACATTGGTTGAGATGATGGAAAATGTCCAGTTATTACAGCAACCATCATCTTCCTAGGAATTTTGAGAAGCTTCCAATAAATTGGAGCTGTGTTACTCTCCATTTGGACACCCACAGTTGGCCAAGGTAGAGTGACAGGGAGTCAGCATGATGCTTATGGCTGGAACCAGGACTGGCCAATCTATCCTCAAAATTACCGAGCTCCAGTGCCTCCAAGAACACAGATACCCATCTTTCTGTCAAGGACACCTCTTGTAAGAGATGCTCAGGAAGTTTCCCAAAAAAGCAACAGCTCCTTTGTTGGATAGTATAAACGTGATGGACTAGTGATGGTCACTTGCTTTGTCCTTTTGTTACCCTGTCTCTTAGTCCCATAACTATAAAATTGTCAAAGGCCTGCTTTGTCTCAGAAGTTTGTGTGAATAAAATGAGATGATGAATGTGTATGCACTTTGATAAGTCTCATATGATCTACAAATACCCATTAATCACAATTATCATTAAAATGAACAATGGCTCTACTCAGTTCTTCCCACCTTTTGCCCCCTCATAGGAGGCCAGCAAGCAGCAGAGAGGCTGGGGCCTTCCAAGGGGCCAGGAGGGAAGCAGGAGGATCTTGGGTCATGATGTGGGGCTTGATGATACACAGTGGAACAGTATCCAGAAGAGCTGCTGAGGTCAAAAGGGGAATCAGGGTATCAAAATGACGGGTCATGGGCTGGAGCTGGGGCAGGCAGGGCCAGGGGCAGGTGCCTCTTTACTGGGAAAACGGGTAAAGATGGAGGAATGGGGAGGTTTTCTATTGTGTGGATTCTCCAGTTAGCAGAAAGAAGGGCTGAAATTTTTCCAGAGGCTTCTCTTCACGTCACTACAAGCGTTTCTTGTTATGTGGTTTCTTGGATCTCAGGTAGGGAATTAGCCTATTCTCTGAGCTACAAATTCTCTGAGGTACAAATCAGAGACCTGGAGGACCATTTCCTGTGAGTAGTGTTTATAAGTTTTTATATTAGTTGCCAACATTTTATAATTGGAAGAATTCCCATAAAGTTCTGGATTTCCTGACCAAGCAATCTTGGGTCTACATTTCTGCAAAGTGAACCTTGGTCTGCTTCTGTTGGCCTGCTTCAATCAGTTGTGCTCCCTGCCTGGCCCTGAAGCATCCAAGTTACTGCCCCTGTGCTACATGGTTCTTAACCTGTCATGGTTTTCTGGAGCACAAGAGGTTTATGCTTAAAGCCTCTTCCACTTGTGACACCTTTTTTAAAAACCACTTTATTAAGGTATGATTGACGTATGAAAAGCTATACATATTTCATGTATACAACTTGATGAGTTTAGAGCCAAGTATACACTTGTGAAACCCTCATCATAATTTATGCCATAAACCTATCCATCACTTCCCAAAGTTTCTTCCTACCTTCTTATTTATTTACTACTATTATTATTGTTGCTGTTGTAGTGATAAGAACACTTATAAGATCTACCCCCTTAACAAACTTTTAGGTGTACAATACAGTATTGTTAACTCTAGGCACTAAGCTGTACAACAGATCTCTAGGACTTACTCATCTTGCATAACTCCCACATCATCTTGATGAGGTTTCTTTCC